TTCCACTTAGAAGCTATGGATAAATGAACAGTATAGATGTGGCAATCAGATAAGCCTAATCAGATAAAGAACTCTAACATTACCACTTCAACACCATTACATCCCACTCCAAAAAAAAAAAAAAGCTTGTGAATGAAAAAAAAAAAAAAAACTTTGAAAAGGAAACAAAAAGAGGAAAACAAAGCAAAAAATGATAGTTAAATCGATAGCTGCTAATGCATAACATTATGGAGAACAAGACAATTATGTGTTTTTTTTTTGTTTATTTATTTATTTATTTATTTATCAAGATAATAATGTGTTATATAGGGTCTGGGGCACGTGCCCCCATTATTTTTTAAAAAGTATATTTTTACCTCTAATTAAAAAAAAATTCATTTAACTCCCTTTTAATTTTCAAATATATTAATTTCAAAATGTTTATATCTCATCTTTCTTTTCTCTTCCTTTTTAATAAATTCCTTATAATTTACCATTATAAATGTTTAATTTTATCAAAACATTCTCTTATAAACTAGCATATATAAAAATTAAAATTATGGCACGTGCATGACACGGACTATTATTATAGTATGTTTAAATTTTATATTTTGATAATTTTTTTAAAATTAAAATATTGTTATATAAAATTAAATAGAATAAATCATTAGATATATGATAGAATTATGTGATATGATATGTGACATAGACAGGCCCACGAGGCATACAGCCCACGGCAAACCACCCCGAACCCATCGCTTTGGACCCATAGCATAACTTGGTTGGCAAAGCCCAGGACAGCTGGAGGCCACCTGGATGTGGAGGGCCAAGGGCATTCGGACACATGACAGATGAGACACAGGCCACATCAGCAGACAAAGATTTGCAGAGTTATTGCCACAACACATCACCATTAATGCAACCCATCACAGCATTTATTACGACAACACCTTCCCGTCGGAACAGAGCCCCCTCACCCTGAACAAGGTAAGCTACGACACAGGCTTTCGGCGGAAAGGGGGCACGTCACAAGGGACAGTGAAATGATTACCAAAGGATATAAGCAACAAGAGAAGCACAAGAAAAAGGTTAAGCTGTTTATCTCTCCATCTTCTTCCCTACATTTTCCTGTTTTCCTCTACTAATTCTCTCGCCGGAGGGTTCACTGGGGGACTGCCCCGTTCCCCTTTGGACTTGCTTGCAGGTCATTTGACGGAATCACCACCCGAAACCGGAACCTGAAGAACCTGGGCTAGCCTGACCCATCCACTCGGGACGGACTGCATCATCAATATGTATATTTTTTGATTTGTTATACACCCAATGATATTGACTCCAATTCTATTACTATATCATTTTGGATGAATTTATGAGTCTTTAACATTTTTTCCGAATTTATAAGGAAAAAAAAAATTATGGTGTGTAACTTTTCTTAATAGATAAATATAAAACTAATATTAAGATAATTCCCCTATCTAAAAAAAACTATTAAGATAAGTCACTGAACTAATAAAGAAGCAAAAGAAAATACATATATATATATATATATATATATAAATGACTAAATTTATTCAAACATAAATCATACTTGCATAACAAATGATCAATTTTATTAATAAGTAAATTATTAAGTAAATTAACAAATTTTAATGATACGAAAAATATTTTTCAATTAACCCTTTTGTTAATAAATAAATCATTAAATCAACTAACAATTTTTAATGGTATGAGAAATATTTTTCAATAAACAATTTTGATAATTATTATTACATAGGAGAATAGTTTTATTTTTTTTTTCCCCTTGAGTATTGTTTTAAATTAAAATTTATAACAAACGATAATTGTAATTTCTAGTATTATATGACCGATTCATATTTTAAACAAATTTTATGAGTGTGTTTGTAATTTGTCAAAAAAAAAAAAAAAATTTATGTTTCATAATTGACCAAGAATGTTTACATAATTATGAAAAAAGCTATTTTTATAATTGACTAAGAATGTTTGCGTATTTACAAAAAAAGTTGTTACATTATTGACCAAGAATGCTTGCATAATTACGAAAAAACCTTCACTACTCAACATATATGTCACCATTGGTAAAATATTCAAGATGAAAAGGCAAAATCAGAAAGAAAAGACGAATTTCAAGCAATTGAGCGCCTCTTATATATATAGATATGTACATATTGTAATCACTTAGCAAAAAAATAAGTTAAACACACTAGTTATTCATTTTTTTTTCATACAATTTACAAAATTATATCCAAACATTGGTTTGAGTTTCTGAATTTACCTTTTAGAAAATTGAAACTTTTTATTTTTCGTATTTTTTTTTGTTTTTGTAGAATTTTTTTTAATACTTTAAGCTTTTTTTTTTTAATTTTTAGATACACCTAATATGAGTACATTTAAAAAGTATAATATTCGTGAAAAAAAAATCTTAAAAAAATTCACTAAATACCTAAAAAACAAAAACATATAAAAATTTAGTACATTTTTTGTATTCTTGTATATTTAGATATTTTACTTTTTAGATACATCTAAGCAAAGTACATCTAAAAAAGTATTAAAAAAAATTGCTTAAAATTTAAAAAATGTTCACTAAAACCAAAAAAAAAAATGAAAAAAAAGCCTCAGTTTTCAAAAAATCAAATTTAGAAAATAGAAACCAAATACAATGATTAATTCTTTTTTTTTTTTTTTTTTTTACTTTGTAGAAAAATCAAAACTAAAAAGTCACTAAAAAACCAAACCCCAAACAAGGCTTTATTTTATTTTTTTTCAAAAACTCAACTTTCAAATAAAATAACACCAATCAAGATCTTAGCAAGTCAAAATAAAACAAAAAAAATGTAAAGTTGTTGTTGGTCAAATCAATGTGATTTAGATTATATAATTATAATGTTATGTATTTAATATAATAGGGGCAAAAACAGTGAAAATGGAACAGGTATAGAGAACACCATCCCTCTCCATTTTCTTATTGGAGTGGAGAAATAACATATAAATTGGGATAGAAAAGCGAAAATGGAACACGGATAGAATACATTGTCATCCCTAATAATAGTGTTGGAATCATTCTCAGTGAAACTCTTTCTCTCAAACTCAAGGTCTCTTCATCTATTATACATGTTATATATATAATTGATAGCAAAACTTTGTTAAGTATTTTAAGTTAAAATTTCCCCAAAAATACATATTGTCTTTGGTTCATTAATTAATGCCATAGTGAATAAAACAAAAGTATGAATCTATGACAGAAAACCAAACAAAATACAGCATTGAAGATAGGATTAGACAAATAAGAAGAAGATTTTTTGTTTGTTGCAGATGACACCAGCGGTAGAAGCAAGAGCCATATATATAGGATCCTCAACATCTTAACATCTAATACAAAGCACATGAAAACACCGTTTGTCCAAATTGGAGGTCCAACCAATTCTCAGCATTTGGAATCTATATCTACAAATTTTAAAAGAAAACCACAACCACATACTAGAGATGAACTTTGCTCTTCTCTTACAATCACATGGAATAGGGTAAAAACAGAGGATTTGAAATTTTTTTTTATCACTTACCTTAACATGGTTGTAATATCCTTTAATAACAGGTGTTAAGTATTGACCTTTATTTCTAGTTCACTTCACATACTGTTTCCATGCTCCAAAGTTGTCATAGTTACTCACTAAACTCAACACAAGATTTGATTCCATACCCTTTGGCCTCTGCTACAACAAAATCCAACCAACCTGTTCAAACCTACAAAAGGAATAAGAGGTCAGGAGGAGAAAGATAAAAACACACCACCACTTAAAACATAAAAAGTTTTCTTATGGGCATATTATCAAAGACATGGTGTACAAAGTTTTTCTATACTAACAAACACCAAGACATCAACATTGGCAAACTTAAAAAATTGAAAACTACGAGGTGTAAAACTGCTTCCCTCCACCCCACACACAAATATATATATATATATATATATATATGCATGCATGTCACCTAAACCATGAATTGAGGAGTAGGGAGCTCATCAAATTGTGATTTAACAATAATGGTATAGAGCTTTGATGCATAGCTGAGCAAATACTTTGTCAATTTGCATCACAGTTGTAGCATCAGTTTCAGGAACAAACACAAATTGTACAAACCAAATATATATATATTTTTTTTCCCGCATATTGTAAACAAATATATAATTATACAGAAATGACAATGAAGAGCAAAAAACAATGGCAGCAAGTCTATTATTGCAAGTCTTTGTTCACTGTTCCAGTTTACAATATCAACAATTGTGAAGAAGAAAAGCTCCAACTGTAATTGTGTACAAGAACCGACCGAGGTGGATAGGAACATAACAAATGATGGCTTCCTATTGGTTGGAAAGTCAGTTGTGAAACACATGTGTAATCTGAAGTTGGCTGCATTTGGCACACGTAAGGAATCCTATCCAAACATAGCATACGTATACATCTTGTTCTTTAAGCAGTGATTTAGTTCATCTGCTAGTTTATTTGTAGCGAGAGGTTACATTCAGGAATTTGTATGTGTTAGATTCAGGGATTGTTTGGAATGTTGTAAATTAGTGCATTTTTTGACTTTTTTAAAATATAAATTGGGTTTGAAGTAATGTGGTAGAGAAGTGATATAACTTAAATAAGATGATATAATTTAAATAAAATAGTGATTTTTTGACTTTTTTAAGAATTGTCAAATCTAACCTTAATTGTGACATGTATGTTTGCATTCTTTTGTATAATAGTTATAGACAAAGTGTTTATGGGAAATTGCTTTGGACCTCTAAAAATATAGTTGTAATGACAAGTCACTACAATGCGTGGCTTTCGTTGGGACAAATGAAAAGTAGCTTTGGACGGACGGCTTGACCCCACCAACCCCGACCCGAGCCTACATCCTACCTAGATTACAACGACACAGAAAGCAAACAAATGGTTGGTTACGTACATACAGCAAACACAGCAAACAAAACAAATCGCCAAATAAAAACGATACAATCATCAAATTCAATTCAAACACTCAAAAATTATATATCATATACAGTTGAAGTTCCCAACTCTCTCTCTCTCTCTCTCGACTCCCAATCCAAACCCTCTTTCCAGGCAGAGGCAGTAGTGAAAAAGCCTTCAAACAACAAACATGTCTTTCTTCTTCGGCCTCGTCATCGGAATCACTGTTGGATTCGCTCTCATCGTTGCCTTTGTTCGCTGTGAAAATGCTCGATCCATGCGTCGCTCTCAACTTGTTAACCCTCTCTTCTTCTTCTTCTTCTTCTTCTTGTACTTACATCTCGTTTGGGATTATGCTATATTAATAATTTTTTAACTTTTTATGAAAAAATATACAGAAAAACAGAGAGACTAACGTGACAACTTATAATAATTTTTTTACTTTTTGACTAAAAATGAAAGTTGACAAACGAAACGAACCTTATAATCAGATATATATATATATAATCCTTATCTGTAAGATTTGTGTTTTGATTTCAATTTTGAAGGCCACTACGATAGCTGCCTTTGCCAGGATGACATTGGAAGATTCCAGGAAGATTCTCACTCCTGACTACTACCCTTCCTGGGTCGTCTTCTCCCACCGTCAAAAGGTACACCACTTCGCTCCTTTCTCTCGACACCTGATAAAACTTGACATATTGCTTACCTTTTTTTCGTTGTTCAATTTTTGCTTTTTATTTTTACTCCAAAATATTTTAATTTTTGATAATTCTATTTATACACTGCTTAAAATATTTTAATACGCATATCCTAAACATTTACTTCTTCCGTATCAAAATATTAGGCCCTTATTTCATTTTCATTATTCAAAAATATTTTTCAAATATCAAACAGTAAAATAATATAAATTTTGTATTTTGTTAGTCATTTAAATTCATTTATAACACAAAAAATAATTATGACAATTGATGTTTTTCAAAAAATATAGCAAAGGGTAGTTTTAGAAAGTTATATTTTTCAAGTGTAATAATTATAGTATCAAAAAAGTTAAATTCTCCAAGTGACTAATATTTTGAAACGGAGGGAGTAAATTGTTCAGATATAAATTTTTAAATAAATATAAAAACAAATGTTCAAACATCAACTCAAAAAAAGAAAAAAAAAAAGAAAAAAAAGAAGAAAGTAAAATAAAAAAGTATTTAGACATAAACAGTTAATCAAAATGTATATATATCTGAACCATTTATTTTTGCACAGAATGTATATCTTAACAATTACTTTTGTTTAGAAGTTTATATTCAAACATTTAACTTTTATTGACAAGTTTACATTAAGATTTTATGTGGTGTGCAATAAAAGCTAGACAAATTAATTTCTTTTGAAAAAATGTTTAGAGTTCTCTAGTCTAGATATGCTTATAATAAAAAATAAAAAAAAATTCAAAATAAGCCAAAAAAGAAAAAGAAAAGATCTTATAAGCTACTGCCAAAGTAACACACTCTCTCTCTCTCTCTCTCTCTCTCTCTCTCTCTCTCACCCACCTGTTGAACAAAGTAGAAGAAATCAAAGTCTTGAGCACCACACAAGACACGAGCTATTATTACAGTATATTTAAGTTTTATATTTTCATTATTTTTTAAAAATTAGAATATTGTTCTATGGAATTGAATAGAATAAATCAATAGATATATGATAGAATTTTATGGTATAATATGTATTATTTTTTTGATTTGTTATGCACCTAATAATGTAGACTCCAATTCTATTACCATATCATTTTTTATTAGTGATTAAAATTTCTTCCGAATTTGTAAAAAAAAAATAAAAATTATGGTGTGTAACTTTTCTTAATAGATAAATATAAAACAAATATTAAGATAATTCCCCCATAAAAAAATACTAAAATACTTCATTGAACTAATAAAGAAGTAAAAGAAAATACATATATATATATATATATACAAATAACCTATTTTATTAATACATAAATCATACTCGCATAACAAATGACCAATTTTATTAATAAATAAATCATTGCGCAAATTAGCAATTTTTAATTATATGAAAAATATTGTTCACTTAACTATCTTGTGAATAAATAAAGTATTAAGTCAATTAATAATTTTTAATGATATGAGAAATATTTTTCAATAAATAATTTTAATAATTTATTATTACATAGGAGAATAGTTAATTTTTTTTTCCTAATTGTTGTGTTAAATTAAAATTTATAGTAAATGATAGTTATAATTTCTACTATTATAGAACCAATTCATATTTTAAACAAAACTTATGAGTGCATTTATAATTTGTGAAAAAATAAAATATTTATGTTTCATAATTAACCAAGAATATTTGCGTGATTACAAAATATATATATATCTCTATAAAGAGAGAGTTCATTTCTCTTGTAATTACAGAACACACAATACAGAAACACTCTTTGCTCTCTAGCTTCTCTTTCAAATTAATCTTTCAGGGACAAAATAGGAAGAAAAAACCAGCCACAAGCAAGTAAGCTCCTTTCATATATATAGATATATGTATTTGTATGGGTACTGACCAATGTGGTTGTCTTTGTGTGTGTGTGTTTCGCAGTTGACATGGCTTAACCTTCAGCTAACAAAGATCTGGCCATATGTTAATGAGGTTACATTTTAGTGCGTTGTTTCATTTTAGACCTCAAATTTTGTTCTGGTGCTACTGATTTTGACTCTTATATATATATACCTATTAACGGATACCCATGTGTGCCTTATTTGAAGTTATATCATTCATACATCATTTGGTGTTGTAGGCAGCATCTGAGCTTCTAAAGACTAATATTGAGCCAATTCTCGAACAGTACAGACCGTCCATTTTGTCTTCTTTGAAATTTTCCGAGTTCACTCTTGGCACCGTTGCACCGCAGTTTACAGGTTAGACCAAATATCCACACAGTATTCCAAATTTTTACCCAAACACATATGCTATTGATTGCCAGCACATTTGACCACTTTTTCCTCTACTAATGGAATATGTTCCATTTCTGAGATGAGAGAGGGGTGGGAGATGGAGCTAGGGGTGTGCACAGGTTGGTATGGAGCGGTTTTTGTCACTTGCCACAGAACCTGGGTTCACCCAAACCGGCAGGTCGGTTGATTTATTCAAGCGATTCAAGTGATTAGGCGGGTTCGGTGGATGACTTTTTCCCTTGTAAATTGGATATATTCTCTTGCTTGTAAAATATGAAAAAATAAATAATATTCATCATGTTATGGCCCTTCATTTTACACACTGATTATGTATACATAAGAGCATAAATAAATTACACATCTGGATATCAAATTACACAACTTGAAAGTGATTATCATGAATCTGGTTACCATTACAAATTTTCCAAAAAAATTCAAACATAACAAGGAGTGTGCGGACTCGTTTCTGCAATAGAGAGAGAAGGAACTTCGTAGACGAACCTGTAAGAATTTTTTCCCCTAAATATGGCTTAATGTGGCTTTTGCATGATTATACTAGATTCATCTCATTAAGTAAGATACATGTACATCAATTAGATGGTGACTAATTATTGATGAATACACCTATATATACAATGTATAGAAGACTAATGCTAATGCATTGAATGTGATGGATTCATTATGAATGAATCTTAAAGATGCACATTGAATGTGATGGATTCATTATGAATGAATCTTAGAGATGCATTATGTATCTATTATGAATATGTAAGATACATTAATCTATTTAATGAATTCATTAATATAGAAGATGCATTATGTATCATGAATGTATAAGATATATTAATCTATTTAATGAAGTTCATTGAATAAATGGATTCTTTGATGGGAAGAATACTACTATAAATAGTGTAAGGTCCCAAACCACACTCTCCATAAAAAAAACTCAAGTTGTCACCACAAGAAGGCTCCCATCGTCTAGAGAGAGAGAGAGAGAGAAGTGGTTTGAAGATCTTAGACAAGTAAAGAACTTAAAGATCAAGGTTTTCCATTCAAGGCTTCCCTTTAATAAAGGATTTCATACTATCATGGATCAAGGTATTTATTTACTTATTTTGTATAGTAGAAATTCATATAGTTTTCATGTATAGAATTGAATCCTTAATGGTTTTTAGTTTATGTTCCACAAAGTTTTCTATCAGAACCTTGGTGCACCGATGGGTGAAGGCCTGCGCAAGGAACATATGATTAGGCTGCCTAATCGGTGGTTGGTCGAAAACCCCTCCGATGGTCGAGTCAGTACTAGAGTTTGGTAGAGAGAGAGAGAGAGTAGAGAAGATGAGTGTGTGTAGAGGGTCGAGAGATCGATCCCTTGTAAAGGGAGGTAAGGTTGCCTTTTATAGAAAAGACTTGATTTGCTCACTATGTTCCTCTCTCTGCCACCTAGCACTTATTTGTTATGTTAGGTTGCTCCTCATTGGAGGAGAGCAAGGACTCTGTTGAGCGGTTCCGTCATTCGCGGGCACCATGCACCCTTCACTTGTATCGTGCTGATTGATCTGTTAGAGCTTAAGAGTCTCGAAGTAAGAGTCTTGGAGTCCAAGTCATGGACTTATCCACTTCGGAGTGGGGAAAGGACCAAGGTTTAAGCTCTACCTCGACCCACCTCGGTGTGGGAAACAGAACTTGGTTTGGGTCCATGGCCTTGCCCAGTTCGAAGTGGGGAAAACCCATAGCTTGGCCCATTTCATAGTGGGGGAAGGAGCCTACTTTGAAGTGGGGACCTTTCTCTTGCTAGGCTAGGTCTTATACAAATGGGTTTGAATAATTGTGCCCTCTTCAAGGAGCATCAAATAACAAAAATCTTGAAATCGTCAGCTTTATAAGGGAAAAGTTGTGAGGATGGGGATTGTTAAAACATTACTAAAGATGCTTACTGATTCAAGTGATTGTTTGGTGGACGAAGCTTGATTATATTATTCACCTAGAGGCTAAGGTTTCCATTATAAAAGCTAGCACCATACCACTTTTGATAAATAGAACTCATCGTTCACTGTTCATTATTGAACTAAGTAATTGACACAGAGAGAGAGAGAGAGAGAGAGAGAGAGAGTTGCGGGTTTTAGGGTAGTTTGTTCAGATGAGAGAAGTCAGAAAGAGGAGAGGGACAAGTAGGTAGGGGATAGAGATTGGGTAAGGACATATAAGAGAGAGAGAGAGAGAGAGAGAGAGAGAGGGAGCGGGGAGGTTTGAGATTGTCCAATGACCTTCTCGGCAGTGTGATTTATGGAGGTAGAGGTGACAATGGTGAGCACGGTGGCTAGTGATTGGTTTTGGTTGGGGCCTTTTGGGGTCGTTGTAGCTGAAGTGATGATGGCAACATAAGTTGGACTTGGGGTAAAGAACTAAAAAAATATCTAGAATAGGGTAAACATTTAGAGAAGGAGGTTGGATGTTGGAGGGTGCACCATGCACCTTATCACACAATTAATGAATGGCGGTTTAGTTCGGTTTGTGAGCCAGTTCAACATTTTGAAACCTCTAATTCAACTGACCCACAAGAAATTGCTTGGAACCTGTCAATCCAAACTACCAACCCTCTCAAACCGCGAGTGGTGGGGAGGATCGGTGCAGGATAGAGTGGTTTGGCAAATTGGGCATTTTTTGCGAAGTCCTAGATGGAGAAAGAAAGTAACACAAAGCTTTTGTTATATATGATAATAACATTTTCACTTGTGGATGTAAACATTTTCACTCGGTATCCAATGTAAAAATATTTAAAGAATAATAGGATGCATTTGGATGTGTGTCCAACACAAGTTGGGGTGTGTCTAATGTGATGTTCGAAACAAAAGTAACATTTTCTCAGAAGTGACTATGCTTTTTAGGAGTCCTTATATCCTATAATTTGGAGATTATAGGAATTTAACCTCTAGCGACATACTCATATTAGACACCCTTACCGGAGTTTGGATAGCATAGGTAGCCTTGTTACAACAATTGATTGATTAAGAAGAAAAAAAAAAAATGAAAAACAATCCCTTTGAAACTTTGTGTGCACCTTCTATATTAACGATACAACTATGAACTTAGGCCTCACTTTATCTAAATGGAATTGCTATAAAAATTGTACATATCTATATAATAAAGATAAAGAGAGAAAGAAAGACTCTTTTAATGGTAAATTACATTGACCTCCCTTGAGGTTTGGAAAAAATATAGTAAGACCCGCAAATTTGGCATAATTATATTGGGTTCCCTCAATGTTTTAATCCACATAATACTTAGTTTCATTTTCATCATAATCTCGTCAATCATATGAATAAAAAAAATGATATTGTCATATATTTTACTCTAAATATATTTTATCGTATTTATTTTTGTGTATTAACACTATTTGCATTACTTTCAGTTCCTTTAGCCTTGCTAAAAATGGCGTTGGTGTAATTATCGCAAAATCGTAGGGATTACTGTATTTTCGATTGCTAATCCATTGTACAAGTAGTTGACTAGTGTCTTAGTATTTGAATGTAGATTACTCTAAGGCTTTAAGTTCATGTTAATATTTGAGAATTTGAAGGTGAATCCATAATGTACATTTTAATATTTGATTTTAATAATATAGATATTGTCATTACAAGAAACAAACAAAAACAATCTAGGATTTCTAGAAGTTTATAAAAGTATCAAGGGACGGATTCACTCTCTTTGTCACTATAAGAAAACAAAAAAAGAGAAACTTTTTCTTCAACTTACATGTGGTGTACCATGATTGCTTCCCCATCTTTTTCATTAGGTGTTTCCATTATCGAAGACAGAGACAGTGGTGGTGGTATTACAATGGAGCTGGAGATGAATTGGGATGGAAATCCAAATATAGTACTTGATATTAAGACTAGATTTGGCATGGCACTACCTGCCCAGGTAATGTAGATCTTTATTTATTTATTATTTTTCCACTATTTACTTGCGCTCTTCATGGATGATAGGTGTTTTATGTCATGCAATACATTTTACTGGTTGTTGAATATGATTACAGCACAAATTTTCCCCTCTAATTTTCATACATGATACATAGTATGCCCTACACTTGTTTTGATATGTCCATATACATATTTGTGTGCATGTAAATGCTGACTTCCCTCCATACTGGTGCTGGTAAAGTCTACTTTGCCAATCCAAGGAAAGGAAGCATAATAGTGGTCAATGGTTTTGTTCCTTCTCTTTGCAGTTCGAACAAAGTTCTCTGTCAGAACTCTTTAAACCCATAATGTTAGGAATGTTTAATTGCAAAAGCCTTCACATTCTTTTGACAATTTCCTTGAATTACTCTTTCAATTTGAGGTGGTGGTGTAAAAGAATTCAAAGTATGCCTAATATAGAATATACTAGATCCCACCTGCGAGAATATTATGTGTGTATATATATTTTATTAGGCATACTTCTGATTGTATATATTAGGCTTGATTTAGGCATGATTGTAATTACATTATATTAGGTACGATTGTGATTATGTAATCTTTGTATTTCCTTTTTAGTTTTAGGAGTTAGGGTTATATATGCTAAGGTCTTGATGTAACCATTCACACAATTGAATATACAAGTTTATTCAAAAACTTACATTGTATCAGAGTCTAGTTCAAAACCCTAGTTTGAAGGTTCAAAACCCTAGTGCTGAAACCCATTTGATGCCAGAATCACAAGACTTCAGAATAATGACTCATTGAGTTCACAATCAAACTCCTTGGTTCGATTTTGGTTTGGTTTGGTTTGATTTCGGGTTGGCTGATTCATAGGTCCTCTCTAGTCTCTAGTCTGAAGTCATGAATCAATAACTCTCTTGATTCTGATTACGATCACGTGAAACTCTTTCTCTTTTGCTTTCTCGTTTGGATTTGAAGTAGTGAGGATTCACTCTGTCTACCTCTACTTCATGACCCTTCTCTCTCTCTCTCTCTCTCTCTCTCTCTCTTATTTACAATCTGAAACATGAAAGATATATGACTGATTTTGACACTTGGGATTGTGACAATGCCCAAGTTCTTACTTGGTTTCATAACTCCGTGGAAGATCGTATTGGGATGATATTTTCCAAATGCGCTATTGCCAAGGAGTGTGGGACTATTTACTGGGAGTTTATTAGCAGTCAAATTTTGCCAAGCAGTATGAGTTGGAATTAGCAATTCAAGGTGCTCGTTAGTGGGACAAATCTGTTTAGGATTTCTACATTTGTGATGACAGGGGTATGGGAACAGCGTGCTCTCATGGAACCATCTAGTATTAAGGTACTAGACGCTTCCTTCTGTGGATGCTATTGTTCGTGAGCTCCTCTCTAAGCAAACCCGTCTCAAGACAGCCAGTCAGACTCTGTCATTAGATGTCTTCTTGGCTCTTACTTCGCTTCCATTGCTGTTGTCAGTTTTACATACGAAGAAGAAGAATAATGTGTGTGTGTGTGTGTGTGTGTGAGAGAGAGAGAGAGAGTACGGATGACATAAAATTATTATCCAAAACTTAGGCTTCTTCTCTTAGACACATGTATTTATAATAATAGGCACAAATTACATAATTACCAAAACTACCCTTGGACTCAAATAACTACACTTAACACTTCCCCTCAAGTTGGTGCAAATATATCTGTCATACCTAACTTATAACAAATGGGATGAAAGATCTTACTACTAAAACTTTCAGGCAATGTTTGTTTGGCAAATTAGGTTGGATGTGATTATGAATACGGTGGAATTAAGTGAGGAGATTAGTAATATAGTAGTATTATGTTAGAGATGTAAGATAACGTGTGTTTGTTTGAGGAGTAGTGTGATGGTATTAGTTGGTTGGGATTAAATCTAGTTGGTTGGGATTAAATTTATGAAATTATGTAAAAGCCCTTATTGCATAAAAAAGAGATTTTATTGTGTTTGATAAATAGAGGACAAAATAGACATTTTGCTTCAATCCAAGGGGATTGGGTTAGCAATCCCCCTCCAAGGGAATGCTAATCCTACCCCCAAGTAGAATTGATAGTCCCATGGACTCATAATCCATTAGCATGTAGCACAACCAAACATGGGTTTGGTGGGACCCACGGGATTATTAATCCAATCCCACCACATAAGAGACCAAACAAACATGAAATACATCAGTTAATTGATCTTTAGACTTCACGAAAGGCAAGTAGATTAAACCCTTATTCAATTTCACCTTAATAAAATGTTTGTTGATTTCAATGTGCTTAGTCTTATTATGCTAAACAAGATTCTGAGCAATACTGATGGCAACTATGTTGTCACAATACAATGTCTTGGGTTTACCACAAACAATTCCTATATCAGTCAAGTGCCACAACCTCATCCCGCCCCAAACAGAATAACAGTGGTGACTAACCAATAGTGCTTGACTGCCGAAGGCCTAACAAGACAAGGCAAGACTGGACTGATAACATTGGGGCTTATGTGAAAACATTTGTCCATTAATTACCAAGAGTCCATTCAGAGCATGCACATAAGTCATATCAAAACAAAACAAGCATACTTCTCATTTATTTATCTTGACATTTACAAGTCCATACAAGAAAAGGAAAGAACAACATTCACAAAACATATTCTTAAAAAAAACCAAAACATATATACAAAGCTATCATCTCTAGGTTGTAGATCTCAAAAGTACAAAATAAAAGAAAAAGACTTCTAACTCGACTTCTCATTCTGACCATGCTCTTCATCATCACCTACATACATTTAGGGGAGAGGTGAGCCATTTCCCAGTGAATAGTAATATGGTAAAGTGGTAAATGAATGGACACTAATGATTTTCAATAAAACCAAGCACAAGATCATATTTCAAACATAATATAATTTCATCAAGATAAACAAAGCTTAACTTGCAAGCATATATATAGCGATGAACATTCCAAGGGTTTCGAATCAAGAATCCACAACAGGTGGCAAGAGGAGCTTAGTTAGCTAGAGGTTATTGGCATGGTTCTCCAATAACAAACAAGATCCAAGATGTCATCTTAATATATGATACAAAAGTATAGGATACTCATTCATAACCAAAACAATATCTTAGCTTTCATAAACACAGCATAAGTTTGCATTTTGAATCATAGTTTTAACAAATATAACTTTACTACACTACTACTCACAAATAGCTCTATGAACGAGGATATAAACTCCTTCAAAGCTTAACCTACACAAAACAAGAACAAAACATTGAAATACTACTTAAATTGCAAGCTTCTTAAACGTATGAGTTAGCTTTAGTTTTCTTTTCTAATCAAACATACTTTAAGTTGGTTTATAGTTGTAATTAATTTTTGTTTAGGTTCAAAACATGTACAAGGAATTTCAGTAGGTCAAAAGGAATGAAAAGAACACAAATCGGACGAATGCCCTGTTTGGCCGCTTATGCGTCGGAATTAGGCTACGCGAGCGAAGGTTGAGCAGTATGCAACTCAAGGTTGGCCGCACGTGCACCCACTGTGGCTGCTTGTGCGGTGGCCCAGGCCGCATGAGCGGTGGCTCAAGTTGGGGTAGATAGGGTTCTGCGCGCTCGTGCGGTCTATGGTGGCTGCTTGAGCGCTGGCAAGCATAATGCTAAGCTGAACGTATTCTTTGTGTTCTTGACAGTCCCAGCAATTTCTTCACCTAAAAGCTTCAAAACATGATATTTAATGTTCCAAAACATGAAAATATGATGCAAGATTCATGGAAACTCATTTGTATGCAAAGATTTCAAGATCAAACCAACAAAAACAAGTTTAAATCCAAAAACTTCTCAACTTGTGTTCTTCCGCAAACTTCCTTCCATTTCTTCATTTCAATCTTCCAAAACATGATGTTTGAGGTTTTAAAACAGAATAAATGATGTGGGTTTGGTAGAAAAACATTCATATGCAACAAATTCAAGGCTAGAACAAATCAAAACCTAATTTCTTTGCAAATTCCTCCATCCTTTTTGGTTTTCCAAAACTTTTCTCAAAACTCTAACTTAAATCCTTCAAAACCTATCTTAAATGATTTTCTAACCAGATTATAACAAAAAAACACGAAAGGGGGTTGAATTTCTTACCTCCTAGTGAATTTTCCTTGATTTCTAGGTTGAAGACTTGAATTTTCATTTGATCCTTGATAGTTGCCTCCTTTTTCTCTTTCTTCTCCTTCAAGAACACAAAGCCCTCAATTGTTCCCCATCCTTCTCCATCTTTCCCATTTTTGTTTGTAGGAAACAATTAGCTTAAGTCACTAATTGCTTCATTAGCTTAAATAATCAAGCTTAATTCTAATTAACCATACTTAATCCTTAATCTTCATTTGTTTGATTAATCCTACTTAGGCTTTAGTTAATCTTACTTAACTATTGCTAATCCTACTAAATTTTTAATTAAGTACCCATTAAGCTCTACTCATCAGATTAAGGTTATTAAACTCATCATTTAAGGTTTTCTGAATTACCTAAGTACTCAACATTCAAGTTCAAGACAAATTCCCTAACTCAAGGCTCAAACAAATAGTTCCTTACACTTAAGGTTTCAACTAACTTCTTCTTCTCTTTTCTAGTTCTAATAAGCCATATTTCACATAAACATATTAGACAAGGCACGAATGCAAGAATAATATGATATATGTCATGCATAAATGATTGGTTGTCACAATAAGGACTGAAGCCACATAAGTTCAAATGTACCATGGGCCATAGCTCTGTATTTTGCCTCTGCACTAGACCTGGATACCACTACCTATTTCTTACTACACTAGGTGACTAAATTTCCTCCCACAGAAGCATAATAATCGAAGGTATACCGTCTGTCATCTATAGAGCCTACCCAATCTGCATCTGTAAATGCCTTCAACATCAAGTGACCGTGATTAGAAAACAAAATCCCTTCACCTAGAGCTGATATAAGGTATCTCAAAATG